CACACACACACACACACACACACACACACACACACACACACACACACACATTATTTAGGCTGTGTGTGCCCAGTCAGGCTGACTCACTGAGATCTTGGTGAAAATGTACAGGAACAGGGAGATCACAGACAGATAGAGGCTGATTCTGCTCCCACCAAACCGCTTCTTCAGGTACTGGGGCATTGTGATCACCTGACACAGCAGATTGTTATTTATGACAGTATGAGTGGTTGTACTAAACAAACACAATCCCACAAACAGAACTCCTTACCCCAGCTGTGAGGTACACGGGTACAAAGAGCCATCCCAGCAACAAGACGATGAACAGAGCCTGGAAGAACATGAGACACTTCAGATCATCTCACCTCACCTGTCTCTGAATTACTTATCCAGTATACTGAAAGAGGCTCCTACGTTCCACTCAAACCCTCCTACAGCGATGCCAGCAGCTGCTCCTGTTCCAGCCAAACCCACAAAGTGACCGCTGCCGATATTACTGGCAAACAGAGATGCACCCACCTGCAAACAACATCAGAAACACTCAGAAAACTCAAGTCCTGTCTGCATTTAAAGAATTCTATTAAAACATAACTTCAGATAGAAATTGTAGTTGAGTGTTGGTGCTTCATTTTTATAGAAGATGTTTGACATCAATATTTTAACGTTTTTTCCTCTAAGAAACTTTTCTTTTCTTTTCTATTGTTATCCTATCTTTTCTTTTTTCATGAAGGCAGAAGTCTGGAGCTTCACATTGGAACAAATCACATCTTTCTGCATCTGATGTATGATTGGGTCCAGGGAACACAACCAGACTTTTCTGGCTTGGATTCACAGACAAAGTAACTCACCTGATGGACCTTTTAACAGGTACTAATGAGCAGGTGTAAAATCCAACCCCACATGCTCATATAGGTTCATATATTTCTGACATTTGAGTTTGGCATTCAGCTTTGGCCTTTTTTTTACCTACATTTTTATTCACACTTTAATACAAACATATTTATAAAAGAGTTTTATTGGTATTTGACTTTGTGATAGCAGAGTGTGATGATGTCAGAATGATTGCTGAGCTGAAATGTTGGTTGATCAAAACTGTTTTAGACTGACGGCCTGGTGCACAATGCAACATCTGTGGCTGAGCATACAGGCCGACTCTAAGCTTTTGAAGAAAAATCCATGAGATATTTTTTTTCTGTTTGTGGTCATGCAAATCGGAGAAAAATCCATGAGATTTACCAACAAATCATTGCTGTGAATTTAACAGACTCGATCGTATAAATTGGTCAATAAATCAGCTTTGTGTGGTTTCTAGTTTGTGAGTCTTTTTATTCTCGCTAATCTTTAGTAAATCAGGCCCTAACTTTGAGCTGCTGAGTAGTAAATGTAAAAAGGTCAATAGCAGTGGTGGGCAGTATCCATCCATCCATCCATCCATCCGATGGATGGATGGATGGATGGATGGATACACTAACACAGATATTTAGGTCCCCTAATTCTAAAGCACTAATGCACTGAAAGTTCTAGTAAAAGCTGATACTAAAGCACTAAAATAAGTCAACCATGAACATTCTTCAACAGACAACATGAGTCACATGTTGCCATGCTGCTCTCTTAATGCTCATCATTGACATTTCACAGCTGTATATGGGTTCATATATTGTCACCTGGTGGATAAGTGACACACATATGAACAAAATGTGCGACAGCTTTCATCCTCAGCTGTTAACAATAATGTTGATCAATAACAGTTACAGACCAGTGCTTCTAAATATAGCCTATAAATTTAGAAAGTGCTAATCCACTAATACATTTTAAAATTAGCAAAAGCCCTAAAGCACTAATCAGAAAATTAGTTCCCCTATTAGTGCTTTAGGGGAACTGTGCCCACCACTGGTCGATACTTTAAAAAGACRAGTAAACACATATTTGCTCTTTTGTTATTTTGTTCGGTCTTAGTTTACTTATTTCCATCTTGTTTTCTGCTTAGTTTTTTTCAGTTCTTTGTGTTATGTTTGGACCTCTACCTTCGTCTTTAGGTAAGTTAATTAGTTTAGTTATTCTGCTCAGAACAAAGTGGACGGTTAGACATGCTGAGTCAGCATCACTGAGATTCAACTGAGGACAGAACCATCTGAAGCCCTGCTGAGCCGATCCACTGATCTCCTGACGGTCGCGGTGGCTTTCTTAACTCTGCGTTCCAAAGTCTCCTCTGATCTGGTCACTGAGGGCGAATCATGCAGAGAGRCTGCTTTGTTGGAAATGAAGCCCACAGGCTGGTTCTTCAGGAGCCCCTCTGCTCCAGAAGCTGACCTCAAACCTTCAGTGGACCTGATTCACCTCCCAGAAAAACAAACTTTCTCATTTGAGGTTTGATAAAAAACGTCTGCTTCTGCAATGTTTTGATCATTTCCCCTCTGAACTCACTAAATTTTCAATCCAAATTCAGGAAAACTTAATCTTGTTCCTGAAGTTACCWCGTGTGTCRTTTAAACCTCTTATTTCMTTTGATTATAAATGTGAAACTTATCAAGTTTATTTAGAAYGATCAGTCACTATCCAAGATTTAAAATATGTTGTTACTGAATCTGTAAATAAATGATACAAAAAGATAAATTCTCAGTTTCTTGTGTCTGTCTGAGTTGTTTTATGATCCCAAACCAAAAGAACTCAGATTATAATGTTAAAAACTATTTTGTGAATTTTCTCCTTTGAAAGTGCTTTCCACAAATAAGTGTTAAAATTAACTTGTAAATTATTAAATAATTCATCATTTAATTATTATTTACCATCCTTTTACCTGCAATTTTATCCTTTTAATGCTTTGTTTCTTTATTACACACAGACACTGTTTTCTTCCTTGGTAGTATGGTTTTGGCAGCAAATATTAAAGAATTAAAAACACAAATAAAKTTTATTTATTTATTTATTTTGTTTACTGTTATTTAACCAGGCAAGTCCCATCATTAGACCTGGAACACTTTCAGAGAATGTTTGCCAATAAAAACAAATTAATCTTCTTTGTTGTGATGAAATTAAAAACCAATAAAAAGATGGTTCTCTCAAAAAGATGAGCAGATATTTGAAGCTCTGCTCGTTACCAGCCTCCTCACTTCCTGCATCTGAACATGAAGACAGCAGGAAAAAAAACTATTTAGACCATTTAGTCAGAGAGACGGTCCTCATGAGGACTGAAAACAAGAGAAGCTGTTAAATGACCAAATCTTTAAGTAAAGTTTAAAATATTTATTTAARTTTAGTCTGGTTTAAAACCAAACTAGGCTCAGTCCAAACAACTGACTGAGTTCTGAGGCAGAAACAGTGTCCTCCTCTGAGAACAGAGGACGAGTTCAGTTAATCCCTGAAGGATAGAGGAGAGGAGGTGACAAGGTGTCCTCGAGGATGAAGGAGACGTGGTGACATGGTGTCCTCGAGGATGAAGGAGACGTGGTGACAAGGTGTCCTCGAGGATGAAGGAGACGTGGTGACATGGTGTCCTCGAGGATGAAGGAGACGTGGTGACAAGGTGTCCTCGAGGATGAAGGAGACGTGGTGACATGGTGTCCTCGAGGATGAAGGAGACGTGGTGACAAGGTGTCCTCGAGGATGAAGGAGACGTGGTGACATGGTGTCCTCGAGGATGAAGGAGACGTGGTGACAAGGTGTCCTCGAGGATGAAGGAGACGTGGTGACATGGTGTCCTCGAGGATGAA